AGCTGCCTGCAGAGCCCAGAGGAGCTGGCGGCACTGGGGCAGGGGCCAGCAGGCACCGAGCACAGCGAGGACACACTGGAACTTGAGACCTTGCGGCAGCGGGAGCTGGCAGAGAGGAAGGCCCGGGCACTGCAGCGCCCATCCAGGTGAGGTGGGGGATAGGGCTGGGACCCCTACGGCCAGGCCAGCACTGCTCAGCCCCTCTGTCCCTGCCCAGGCACTCCCGCTTCGGCGGCTCCTACATCCTGAAGGGCCTGAAGGCAATCGGAGATCGGGACGTTATTTTTCACAAAGGACTGCACAATGTGAGCGTGGGGATGGGAATGTGGCAAGGGACACTGAGATCAGGACACGATGTGAGACATGATGGGGAGCACAGGGATGTGGCAGGGAGCATGGGGCCAGGGATGCGGTGGGATGTGCTGGGGGGCCCCAGGACGGGAACGTGGTATGGAGCACCGGGCTGGGGATGTGGCAGGGGACATGGGGTCAGGAACGTGGCAAGGGGTGCCAGGATGGGAACGTGGCATGGAGCACAAGGCCAGGGATGTTGCAGAGGACATGGGGTCAGAAACGTGGGGGGCACGGGGGCAGAAATATGGCAGGGGGTGCCAGGACAGGAAAGTAGCATGGAGCGTGGGGACAGAGATATGACAGAGGGCACAGGAATAATGCCACAGAGATGTTAGCCCGGCCTGTCCATGCTTGTCCCATGCAGCTGAAGAACTACAGCCACGACCTGGGCAAGGAACCGCGGCGAGTGCCCCGGCGGCGCCAGGCTGCTCCTGAATCCGAGCCTTCCCGCCGCTCCGCTCGCAACGTCCGGCTCTTCCTGCGCCACTTCTGCCAGGACTTCCTGGAGAGCTGCTACAACCGTCTCATGCTGCTGGTCAAGGTGAGAGGCTTGGGGGTTGGAACCCCCTCCCCAGGCTGCAGAACCCCCACTGAGCCACCCCTGCCACCCCTAGGACCAGCTGATGCGGGAGAAGGCTCAGCAGCATGACGAGACCTATTACCTGTGGGCCACTGCCTTCTTCATGGCCTTCAACCGACGCCACGGCTTCCGCCCAGAGCTGGTGTCAGAGACCAGAGCCCGGGGGTGTCCGTGCCTTCCACTTCATTGAGCAGAACCTCACTATGTACTACGAGATGGCACTGATGGACAAGAAGGAAGCAACAACCTGGGCCCGCAGGTGGGTACCTGGGACCCCCTGGGCATGTGGGACTCCCTAGTGCCTGGATCCCCCTGGGCACCTGGGACTGCCTGTGGCATCTGGGACCCCCACACTGCCATCCCCAGGATGCACTTGGCCCTGAAGGCGTATCAGGAGCTGCTGCGGACAGTGCAGGAGATGGACCGATCCCCCGAGCAGGCAGTGCGGGACAGCAGCCAGGTCATCAAGAGTGAGTCGCTCTGTCCTTTGACCCATCCCTGGGGGTGTCTGACCCCCTCTTCCCAACTGATCCCCTCTTTTACAGGCAACATCTTTTACCTGATGGAATACCGGGAGCTCTTCATTGCACTCTTTCGCAAGTTTGATGAGACCAAGCAGCCACGCAGCTTCCTGCAGGACCTGGTTGAGACAGCTCACCTCTTCCTCCGCATGCTGGAGCGCTTCTGCCACGGCCGTGCTAGCCTCATGGTGCAGGTGGGATGTGACTGCCCTGCTGGGGGTGGTCCCGGAGGGTCAGGCAGCCCCTCCTGACCCCATCCTTGCCCTCCAGAGCAAGCGTGTGCACAGGAAGAAGAAGCCACGGGTGCCTGCAGCCTTTGCCTTGCCACCACCCAGTGCTGTGGAGCTGGAGGAGCTGTGGGCAGGATTGGTCCCACAGCTCCAGGCCTGCTTGGAGGTAGCAGGGAGGGGTCTGGCCCTGCAGGGGGCTCTGGGGGTCTTGGCAGTGCACAGGGTGATGGTGTCTTGCTGCAGAACAAAGTGCCCCTCCCCGAGGACCTGGTGCCCTTTGATGCTGCCTCAGAGACCCCAGTGGAGGAGCAGCGTGTGCAGGCTCTGCTGCGGATCCAGGGGTGCCTGCGGGATTCCCAAGTCCCCCAGGCTGTGAGGCTGCTCCGTTCTGCCAGGTACTGGCACTGCAATTCCCATCCTGTGCCCAGGGCGTGGAGCTGCAGTGCCAGCCTTGTTCCCCTGTGCCCAGGGACGTCTGGCCCGAAGGGTGTGTGTTCGGAGCCCCTGATGTGGAGCCGCCTGAGGAGATCCAGCTGCTGCGGGAGATCCTTGTTGCTCCCTTGCCCCGTGAGTCCCCAGCTGTGACACTGGGAAGGGAAA